CCAGGGCAGCCAGCTCTGCTGCAGGCTTTGATTCTGTCTCAAGTGAGCTGAATTCCTCCTTGTTTCTCCTATTTCTCCATGTGTGGAGTAGGCTGGTTGGCATGTTGCCCACCTGCTTTTCTGCCCAACAGAGTTATTCTATGGAAAAATACATTATGGCTTATGAGCTGTTCATATTCCGTGATACTGAAAGGTTTGTATAATTACTGTACTCATTGGATCATAAACATAAATCAAACCAACTTGTAATGCCTAAAGTTCCCGTAGGGAAACAATCATCTCTTTATCTTTGCATGGACTCTCACACAAGCTGGTGCAGTCTCACCTGAGGCATTCAAGCATAATAAAAACCCCATATAAATTTCTGTGCTCTCTTTCCCCTGCAGGGAAATGACCACTGGGAGAAGCTCCTTCACAGACGACCCACATCTGCTCTGTGTGGACTCACCTCCATTTACCGAAATCAGTGCGCTGGCAAGGGCTTGGCTTGTGTCATCCCCCAAGGTGATGTTTACACAGTATGTTCCCGGTTCCTCAAAAGCTCTCCTTATGGTGAGTAAGCATTCATCAGTGACGATGACGGGATTGCATACCACACTCTTGGACACCTGGCACGTGGGGTCAGAAACTACTGTGCAGACATCTGTGGGGAGACTAGGGATGGGAAGAGAGAACACATTGTTAGCCCAATTCATGGATGCATTCCACAGTTTTGTGCTGATGCCTGTTCACTGAAATAAGTGGCACTACAGTGATTTAAGAGTGCTTTATAAATATGTTATGTATATATTTTATACACAGCTATACATTTTATATATACATGCATGTGGATTTCTATAAAATGCATATATACAATATGTAAAATTATCTGCTTGTTTTATGTATCATTTAACATTTTATGGTGATCACAGAATTACCTGCCTCAAATCAGCTTATAAAGTCCCTGACCTTTAATAACATCATTAAGAAAGGAACGCAGATTCTTATATGTAGTATCATCTGCCAAAAAAGTAAATGCTAACTTAAGAGAGATTAATTGTTTTCTAGTTGCGTTACCAAGACGATTCTTGTACTTCTCAGTCCTCTCAACTCTAATCCTCTTCTAGGAGCTAGGAATATTAGTGCAATGTTTTCCTATCCAAGAAATTGCTTGGACACATCCATTTACTCTAAGCGTCAAAAAATCGTGGCCAAAAAGAAAGGATTTCCTTCCAATTTCAGTAGACTGCTTCCCATTTTAAAGTAAGTGCTGAAATCTTGTCTTGGCCAGGAAAATATAGAATTGTTTTTCCCCACTCTCAAGTTCTCTTATTTTTACTGAGGACTTGACATTTGTTCTGAATCCTAAGAGCCTGGCAGTAACCTCTGTTGACATAGTTTACAAATGAAACTTGAATTATCTTTAGTTCCATTCAAGAAATAGAAACACTGTGGTTCCCAACTTTTATTCATGCAGCTGCATCTAAGCGCAGACAGTGTTCCACCACCTAATTATTTTTAAAGAGGAAAGATTGACAGTTTCATTCACACACTTACCTCCCTTGGCAGGTAACAACAAAGTCAACCAGTGAGTTTTCAGCTTGACTTTCTGTCATCTGGATGCTCGTCATCTGAATAATATTTACTTCAAGGATTCCCTCTGGGAGAGGAAACAGATGTCAACAGTAGGACACATGACAAGCTCTGAAGTCTGTGTGTACAGAACCTCAAGTGTTTGGCTGATGCTCAGTTCAGGTCTTGTTTTGCATAACCTCCTCCCTCCCTTAGCACTCCTCTTGAAGGGTTTGAAAGCTGAGAAATTTTCCAATGCTTTCCCTATGAGGCTGCTCCTTTCTGTTCAGCTTTGTTTTTCTGTTATTATTATTTACTTATTTATTTTACAAAATCACCTCCCACTTCCACTACCCGTGACTCCTGTACATGCCAATGTTGACTCAACTTTTTGTGACCCCCTCAAGCCAGTATGCTTCAGGTGTGGCAGGTTCAGAGACTGATGGTATAGAAAGTAGTGTTACGGCGCACATCCCCACCAGCCATTTCCCAGCCCAAGTGCCTGGAAACGCCACATGTGGGGTGGAGGCAGCATCCAGACCAAGGCGCAGCCTCACGTGTCTGACACCAAGGGGCCGTAACCTCTGCTGCTAGGCCCTGGCAGAGTGCATAAAGAGACCAAAGTCATCCGATTAGCTCTCTGTACGTTACTCTTTAAAAATGTCAGCTAGGCCCAGGAGAAGGATCTTATTGTGAGTCTCATGTATTTGTTAAAAGGGAGTCTAAATGAATGTTCTCTCTACCATACACTGTTGTACTTTATTAGCCCCATTCCTCTGTTCAGGTGTTGACCCGCGTGCTTACCTACGACAGAGATACCAGTTCCATAGTATCCATTTCTGTAAATATGGCAACCTCCTTCAGGATTATCTTCCAATAACTCGACAGCGGTAGAAGAGTCTGAATTAGAGGATGCTGCGGTCATTACTGTTGAGTTGAGGGAGAAAGAATAGATATGCAGCTTTAGAACAAGTTCTGCTTAGAGGTATTCTGAACATGGCCATATGTTTCAGCTGTATTTATTACGTAGGTCATTAATGACTTTGGTTTGCAGCTTTGCAGTCATGTGTGTATCTGTACGGCATCATAAAGAAAACACACATGTCCAGCTGTAGAACCCTGGAGAAGCCTGGGTAGCCTCACTCTAAAAGCCACCTTGCTAGTCACCCATGTCTGTGAAATAAAAGTGAGACTGCAAGGCTTGATATAATTAAACACTTCTTTAAAATTCCCAAATCAATTATAGAAGAAACCTAAAGACCAATAAAAGGTTTAAAATGCTCTCTTTAAAAGCAGGTATTTTTCCGTTTTTCTAAATTACAGCTAGTGAAAAAATGAAGAGGGGAAGTGGTGAAAATTATATCTTTCCTTTCATTTTTCATTCTCACTCAACATTTTGGTAAGAGCACATATTAAAATTCTGAAATTTGAAAAATATAGCCACATTTACAATTTAATAGTAGTAGTATTATAACTACCCAGGCTGGAACTGCAGGCCTTTTGCAAACCTTAAAACCCTCTGAGATGATAAACCAATGCTGAACATAATGAAAGTTATTCTGAAATATGATAGTGCATAAATTTAAAGTGGAAAAGCCATTCTAAGTTAATGCTATATGGAAATCCCATATTTTTGGAATCTGGGTAAGTTTTTTCTAGTTCAATCTGATCTTATTTAATTTTGGGTGGAAGTTAATGCAAACCAGAAAGGAACTGGCTATAGGAGTGTTCTGAAATACCTCTTTATCGCTGAAAATTTACACTTTACCTCAGAAGATGACCCTGAGTAGGCAAGGCTAAAACTGCTTGACCTGTCATGGTAGAGGGTATAAAACCAAATTCATATATACTGCATGTCCACCTGAAGACCTCTGTATGCTGTCTCTGTGGTGGTAGCACTGGATGTGTAATGTGTTAAACGGGTAAGTGATGCCTATCGTAGAAGAGTTTATGCTTATTGATTCTGTCCCTAAACCAA